ATCATACCCTCGTACAAAAGGACATATTTCCTAAACATGGGTCATACGCTTAGATAAAAGAAACAACAGATGATGCATTTCATTCCTAAAGTATGTTTTGTTTGGTCCCAATCATCGGAAAAGAGAAAGAAGATATTTTATGTGGATCGAAAGAAGACAGACTGTAATCGAAAATCTCGTCTGGCAACGCTGCTGTTGTATGCAACTAAAAGTCTGTTGTAAAACTAGGCAGTAAACTAACTTACTTATTATCATCCATAAATATGTGCGGCATAGATAAATTATCTTCTGGTTTCTTACTAGAGCTGTCAAAAATACTCTGATACTGGAATCAAAGCTGTAACAGAGTATTCAGAACTTTTAATGTAAAGGTAAGTATACATTTTGATTAATAATAAGGTAGTCCATGAAAATAATCAAAGAAAGAGGCATGTAATATAAGTTTATAAAAAAGTTTGTCCTTGTTAAGCACCTACAAAATTTAAAGAACTTACAATATAAAAATGTATTTGTAAGATAAACTACCAACTTTCATCTTAAAGGATAAAGACTTAAATGAACATTTCCGAAACATAATTAAGAAAGTTTTTAGTTACCTAAATGAAATAATGAACTTAGTTTTGGCAGTGCTCCAGGCTTGAGATATTTGGTTTTTGAAGAATATCATTAGGGTCAAAATGCTCCGAGCATAACACTTTTTTTAAGATACCTTCATTTTCTTCAAGTCCTACAAGTGATAGCCAAATATTTCTTGTATGCCTTTCAGTTGGGAATCTAAGAATCAAGCATAAGCATATTTATTTTACCACTATAGTCCAGACTAAAGTGTTTCTATTAATTACAATTTTTGCGAAATTAATAATGTTGAAAGATCAAAGAAAATAATAGTAAAACAAAAGTAGATAATACATGTGATATTACGGCAAAAATCTTTAAATCTACACCACTGAACTATGCAATACATCATCACCTAACCTTACTTACTCATGAAAAAATACTTCAGCACCCACATTTTCCAGTTTTTTGCTTAAAATGCACTCGCGAACCATGTTGTTAGCTATACACAAGCCGAAATTTGACCAAAAAAATCTAAAGATTAACAAAAACACCCAATTTGCAACAATTTACTGGATCGCAACGTCGAAAACTATCGATGGATAAAATACTATACGTGACGTCCGTGACGTATAGTATGAATGAAACAAAGTTATTTTAAATTGCGATGGTGTCACGTTTAACGCTTTTATTTGCAGGAATAATAATGGTGTTTGCCATAGTTTATCTTAGTATATGCAAAGTTGTTATTTAGCAAGCGTATGTATGTAAATACGATAGGTACAAAAATGCCCTGCCTAATGGTGTAAAAATAGGTGCTGCTAAAATATCAAGTCTGCTGAAAGCAGGTAAAATAGATTAATCACTTTGTACACATTTTATACGTTTTTTGTTTTGTTACAATTTATTTTTTTTAGAGATTTACTATTAGAAATGTTTCGGGAAATATTGCAATATTTCTCCCCTCAATGCGTCGGAGTTGGAAACACAGCACTAGGTACGAAAATGAATTGGTGGGGACGCTTGATGTGTCGCAATATATCTCGAAACTACTCTAATTAATAAAACTTGTTGCTATTAGCGAGTTATAGGTAAAAACTATTTTTAAATATGAAAGGGATAAACTACATAGCCTGACAACAGCGCACCAGGAAACGCATGTTGGTTCATTTACGAAATAGCTACGCGCTACGTTTCTTTGCAATGTATGACCGGGTTTTAAATGTAAAAATAGAGGAGCTTAGGTCATACGTAACAATAAAACAAAAGTTTTAAATTGTACAGTAACAGCATATAAAACCTTTAATTATTAGCGGTGAGAATGAACAGACTCGTTCACTGTTAAAACATAAGTATATCATTATCACTGAGAGCTAAGAAAAAGAAAGACGTAGAAAACTTGCTAACCAAACAATTCGGAGAAAACTGGAAAAGCTTGGATGAACTCGGGTGGTAATTCAATTTTAAATGTTAAAATGTTGCACAACATGTTGGATGTTAAGAATGTGATGAACACGTAATATGTATAAGCAATGAGCCAGATGTGGATATTCTTAAAATACAGGGTGAGTCGGGAGGAACGCACCAAACTCTAGGAGTATATTATACACGTGAAAATAATGTAAAAAACCCATGTTCTTATCCGATTTTCATTTGTTTTCAAGTTATGGCATATTAACAAATAAACAAATTTACACATAAAAATTCTCTTAATCATAGCGTTCTTTTAATAAATGTTTAAAAATATTGACTTCTAAACATTTTCTGCTTCGTCTACGAAGAGCGTTTGTTGCTCTCCTAAACGTTCAGTTACTGTTCACTGTACACCGACAGTTCATCAAAACGTCAGAATTATCAAATGCCTTTGAGCCTTGAACATATGGCATACATTGATAATGTTAAAATTCAGAAGTGGAAAGCTAGATGAACATTTTTAATTACGCCATAACTTGAAAACAAATGAAAATCGGATAAGAACATACGAGTTTTTTTACATTATTTTCACGTGTATAATATACTCCTAGAGTTTGGTGCGCTCTTCCCGACTCACCCTGTATAAGCCTGACATTCTTTTATAATGTTAACGTCCATAAAGATTTTTGCTACATTTTTTTATTATTGTATTTTTGATCAATAACAATACCAAAAAGTATTATTTCAAAATTTGTAAACAGCAAAAAAGGCCACATTTCCAAAATTATTTTATATGGAAGGACTTATTTCCTGTTGCATCGAACAACATTGCTATAAATGTTTAAATTTAAACAACCAATACGATGGCAGGTCTGTAGTATTATTACAAATTGATTGGAAAAACAAAATTTAAATAATCTATAACGCCCCACCCACTAGAGAAAATGATTGTTTCCTGAAAAATTGTAAAAAATGAAAAATTAAGAAAAAATCACTCCTCATATCAGCTTCAATAGTAAATAACAAAAACGCTTCCTATGTAATAACTTAAAATATTAGACAAAATGATTGTATGTACCTTAAAAAATCGTGTTCTGAGCTATCGTTTTTGTCACCGCTACCTTCATCAAACACAATTTGGTTTGCGTTTGATTTGAGAAAAAATTGTTTTCTTCGTATTTGGTTCTTCGTTCTTTTCGATGGCCTACTGCCTGGACGAACCGACGGCCCAATCCGATATTGTATATACATACACTATACAGGTACAGAATGTTCAAGACGAATGATAATATACCTTTCAATTAATTAAACAAGAAATTTGCACATATGAAGCTATCAAGGGGGCTATTTTTAAACTCGAGAGAAAGGAATTCTCTCAAGATTAGTAAGAGAATTTTAATTATCTTGAATTAAACCGAGAGAAACAGTCAGTCAATTCTCACCGGCTTTAAAAATACTATTTCTACGTTGACATTTCTCGTGAAAATCTTGAGAGAAATGATTACTCCCATAGTTTGAAAATAGGTCAACAGGCAGAGAGCGCTGTCGCTCGTCACTCATAAATCTCTGTCTGATGAAATAGAAATCGTATCGATGCTCGCCGAGAGTGAGTCTCCCTGTTATGTACATGTTCATTGTAAGGTACAGTTTCAGTGTTGAAAATTCTGTACAAGAATGAGATTCTTATAGTAATACAGACAAATGCCAAACACGCTGAAAAACAGTAAATACTAAAAGTTTGCGCAACATTTGTATGTGTCACTGGTTCTAAAGGTTTATAAAACTTCACATTTTTTTACACATTATTACTTGGTACATAAATTATTGATCGATTACATGTTAACTTTTTTAAATCAAATCGCACAAATGCTTTAAATTAATTTACGGCTTGCTGCCGGCATTGTAAAGGTTTGTGGTGTGGTTGGTTTGACTGACAAAGCGAAAGTGCCGTTGTTTTCTTTTCGATGCAAGCCCGCCCGATCGCGTCGGTTTTACCGGCTTTCTTCTCATTGGCCGTCCCAAATCGCATGCTTGCGTACATGATCATTACTTTTAGGAACTGTCGCCTGATTGGGTGAAAAAATCTCGCGCGACTCAGTATTACTTGTTCGCGAAAACACAGGTATCTGAAGGGTATTTTAAAGTCAACATGTTTACCATTTTATAACTTTAGATAAGGTTTGTTCTGGTTCTCAAAATGAAAACTGTTATGAAACTGCGCCGGACCGTATGCGTAAAGGCAAAAAATCCCCGACTGTTTAAAATTGTTGGAAAACCAGAACACATAAAGGTGTTTTGTTTATTATAATAATGAATAATGAAGTTCCTTTTGAAAGCTCAGCTTCAAATAACAGTAGCATGTATATGTTATTATCATTATCATCACATTTCAATGGAATAAATAAAAACAGAATAATATAAAAAAATTAATAATTCCAAAATTGTTTTAATTTACAAATAAAACAAGAACAATAGACATTCGTTCACATATAAATAAACAATTTGGGATTGTATACGTTCCGTATGGTCTAAAAAGCCAATACAATATTCATAACACTTCAAAAACGCATGCGCGGTCAAAACAGTCGATCCACACTCCCAAGCATGAACACATTTTGACTATTTACAACAATCACGGATTATTTCGGATACGAAACCAGAACACTGGACTGAGAAATCCGAAGTAGTCCCAGAAAAACCAGAACACTTTTTATCTACTGCGCATGAGCCCGACAGTTGTGGATCGTTATTTCTCAAAAGCAGAACAGACCTATAATTAGTTTATACAGGGAGTGACTATTCAGTACTTTATTATTTTTGTTTGCTAAAAGCGGAGGTTTATACAGGGAGTGTCTACCTAGTATTTAGCAGATAGGACATGTTGAATGTAATTTCAACAAGAAGCAATAAGTGAAATTTAGACTTCCTGCGAATTAAATTGGTGAGAATTTATACAAAATAGAAAGAGATATAGATCTGTATCTGTATTTATATAATTCCAAATTGTAGTCGTATTAATATTCATCACTTACCATGAGTATACCAAGTGTTAACTGTAACGACCTTTTCCAATAATAGATCAATTTCGCCCAGCTCATTTGTTATTAAACCCAATTCGGTCGAAGTTGTACAAGTACGCAGAAAATTGTACCATTCTATTATTCGGAAGAATTTGAAGAGAGCTTCATTAATTATTTCAACTTTTGCAAACAAAATTAAAGCTTCTTCGGGAATAGTTTGAATGTTTATCAATTTCATATACCTAGAAAATATTTAAATAGTGTTAATTTTTAAAAATGTTTTTTTGTCTAATTTCAATTTAAATTCATATCAAAGTATGTGTCTCTTTTAGATGAGCGCAACAAATTTAACAAACTGTATAAAGCATCCATACATTAAAACTTATTAATGTATATAGTATTTTCATCGAGTTAGTAGGAAGAGGAGATGACATACCATACAAACATTTAAAATAATATGGTTCCACTAGACTGACATTAGGATGGTAACAAAATGACGCCTAGAGTAGTTCCGGACTCAGAATTTTCTGGATTGTTTAAAGTGGTGGTAGTAATTTTGATATTTATATTTCAAAATGAATACTTATGTTTCAAATACTAAATGAATAAAATAGATATATAGATATACAGGGTGTTATATCAAAATTCATCAAATAACGATAGCTCTCTGTGATAGAACATAGTCAGTCGAATATACTAACACCCTGTATAAAAAATTATAGGAAATAACCATGGAGGTATCGGAATAACATAAGTTGGTGAACAGAGTCGTACTGAAAAAATATATGGTTATCTAAACATTATAATTTACAAATTTACGAATTCAGAAAAAACTGACTATACATATATCTAAATAACACCAAAAAAATTAAAGGGGTGATTCTGTGATGAAAATTATTGTGAGTGTTTGGTATAAAATTTTTTGAAAAAACCCTCCCCGGAAAAGTTACACCCCTTCGAAATTTAAAAAAATAATGGTTACTTTTTTATTTTCCCGGTGTTATTTAGATAAACCCTGTATAGATACCGTTTTTACATACAGATTGTTGGTAACCAACTAAATATAGTGTCCTGTGTTCAAAATATTTCGATGAAAAACATTTTGTTCGATCTTCATTGTATTGGGATGTGTCCGATGATGGTACGACGTCTGGTGTTAAAAATTGAAACTAATTTTAGATGGCACTTTATTAGGAATATATTGCGTTTACGTATATGTATATCAGTGAGTTATATCACCCATACTATAGGAGAATATATAAAATATTCGATTTTGCATAAGTTAGCATTTTAGAATAGTTTGTTTATATAAATTAAACCCCGGAAAAAGTGTCTGCCTTTTTGGAATTAATTTTTTTTAAATTTAATTAAGACGCTATTAAAATTTCAGCGTGATTCAAACACTTTAAATCATATTTAAAAAAAGTCAACTTTGGGTTTGATTTATCAATTATAAACCCTCTCAAAAGTGTCTGCCTAAATTACTAGTATTTTTAGAATTACCTAAACTTTCAATTGTTGTTGATTGGCCTCTGAATCAAACACTTTTTTTGGGTCATATTTTACGAACCCTTTCTACTATACGCAGTACCTGGTGTCCCGGGGTGGGTCTAGCCAACACAGTTATATCTGCTTCTCCATCCAAATTATTACTAGCTCTCCGGCTAACCTGCATACTATTCTCCTATTATTATGTTGTTAATATAATGGCAGATGCTTTGCTTCAAAGATAAAGGGTGTTTCAATTTTACAATCAGTAAAAAAAAATTTAGAGGGAAATTTGGAAAACAATCAAGAGGATTAAAAATTATAACAACTCAATTAATAGGTCAATAGCATACTAGATTTTTTACTTTATTATTATTTTGATAAAATTGTAGTTCCTAAACGAAAACGGAAAACGGTTCTTTATACTAAAGTAATTTAAAAAGTTGTGCTATCAAAAAGTGAAAAATTTAGTGACGTACATATTTTTTGTTAAAAAGTTTTAAAGCGCTAGTTCACACGCGCACCTATGTTAAACCTATTTACATCTTTTATTTGCTTAATTATTTGCTTTTTGGATAGATTGTAGAATTAAAACTGATTATTCAACGGTGAATTTTCTAAATAAATGTTACCACTAGATAGTTTTCATGTATCTCTTTTCAAAGATAAATTTTGTAAGTAATACAAAGTATGTAGTACATATTGTTAATTAATCCTTTTATTTCTCTACTAAAATTAAAATATCACAGATTAAAAAATATAAAATAACATTTAGCAATATTTAATTTTGTCGTATAAAAAATGTACACAACCGAAATGAATGATAAAAACTTACCGGTAGATGCTGGTTCGTTCTCAAATATTAGGGTTTCACCACCTATGGAGGGAAAATAGAAGGGATAGAGAGGAAGGTGGTTATTATTAACACCCGAAATCGGCAAAAGAAATATCGAAAAAATATTAATTGTAAGACCGTAATCTATTGTTTTCACGTTCGAATTCAAGTCGCTACTGCCTTTAACATTTAGAAATTGTGCGCAGGTATGCCTTTAGAACTGCAATGGTTCCTAATAGGTAGGCAACACTAATTGCCAAAACATCCTGCGGCCCCCGAAATTGAATTTATAATTCAAACGAAATAACAAATACTAAATTTAAAATAATTATTACTAACCATAAATATACAAAAAAATAGTATATTACATTACGAGTGTGGAAAGTGACATTTTTCACACGAGTGGAAAATATTGTCGCACGAGACACAAGCCGAGTGCGACTATCACATGAGTGTGGAAAATCACTTTTCGCACAAGTAATGTACAATATTTTTCCTACGACCACAAAATAATTTCATCAAAAAATGTAAATCCAGGGTATTATTATAATAATTAAAATGTATTTAAAAAAAATAATTAACAATAATCGTATTTATTCAATTTTCATATTTTCTAAACAAATATAAAAAATTAAAAAAAATTCTGGTACAGCCAGGATTTGAACGAGGTCGCTTGACGGTCTCAACTTACAAAGTTGACGCTCTAACCAACTGAGCTAACAGGCCTTACGATAATTGATTGATCTAATCGCTTATGTGTTTAACCAGAATAAAAAGCAAATATATCTTAAGTTATTTTAAAATTATTTTAATAACAATTGTTAAAGATAAATATCTAGGATCTAATTTACAACAATTTCAATAATTTAATAATCATATCGATTTTAGTATTAATATGGACATTACAAAGATCAAAATAGAAATGATATATTTGACATTTTCTGACAGCTACTGCGGAAAGTAGCATATTCGTACGCGGGTGGAAAGTAAATTCTTATTCATACGCGTCTGATATAGGGCACTTTCCATAGGACTATATAGTGTGATATGTGTCACTTTCCTAAGTGGTCGTAGGAAAAATATAATATCCACCCACATATTATACTAAGATAAAAATTATTATAAATTTTTGAAACAAAAAAATAACTATTTCTATTGAGTAGGAAGTGGACGGGTATACGAATTATTTTTTATTCGCACTCTAGCGACACGGATAACTCCGTCCTTGTCCGGATACACCTTTTCAATAATACCTATAGGCCATTGAAGTGGAGGTAGGTTTTCTTGTAACATTAGCACGATAGTACCTTCCTTAATAGACAGGGTGGATGTATTCCATTTTTTGCGTTCTTGAAGAGTTGAAAGATATTCACTATGCCACCTTTTACAAAAATGCTGAATCATCGATTCTAATAGTTTATATCTAGAAACCGCAGGTAAGGAGTTTAAAGGTGAACCATAGAGAAAATGGGCAGGGGTTAAAGCTATAGGATCATTAGGGTCATGATTTAATGAGCATAAAGGACGATTATTTAAAATAGCTTCAACTTGAGTCAACACTGTGTTGAACTCTTCGTCAAAATTTGCGTTCCAATTACTCTAGATAAATGTAGTTTCATGCTGCGAATATTAGATTCCCAAAGGCCACCGAAATGGCTAGCCTTAGGAGGGTTATTAGGCATTACGATACTCTTGGGAGGCTAAAAGGTTTGGTACCTCGTTAATTCGACCTTTAGCTCCAATAAAATTTGTTCCGCAATCGGAATAAAGTTTTAAACAATTACCTCTACGAAATATAAACCGTTTAAAGGCTGCTAAAAAGCAGTCAGTTGACAATGATGATGCGAGTTCTAGGTGAATGGCCTTTGTAACAAAACAGATAAATATGCATACATAAGCCTTTTGACTTCTCACTACTCGCTTGCGAAACATAGTGATAGGGTATGCACCAGTGAAGTCAGCACCAGTTGTCAAAAAGGCTTTGGTTTGATTAACTCTTTCCGATGGTAAATCTGACATGATAGGATTGGCTCTAAAACAACGATTACATAACCAAACACGTTTGCGCACGAGGGTTCTAGCAGATAAAATCCAATATTTTTGTCGTAAAAGGGATAAAAGTAGATGAGCAATATAATTTATGATAATGATCAATTAAGGCTATAACAAAGTTATCCAATTTAGGTAATAAAATGGGATGCTGGGATCATAGTCTAGTAAAGAATTAGATAATCTCCCCCCTACTCGAATTATCCCATCTTTAATAAAAGGGTTAAGACGGTGACTGTTGGATTTTATGGGTTTCTTTTCCTTAATTGCCTTAAATATATTCGACAAATATTTGTTCTGAATAGTTTGAATTAAATAAAATTCGGATTTATCCAGATCTTGTTTGATGATTGGAAAAGTTCAGGGTAGTATTTTCAGAAATTTCAGAACATATGCAGTGGCATTTAACATTTTACTAAAGGAGGAAAAATATTCTATTATACAATAAAGGGGATTTTCGACTTTTGGAAGGTATACGATGGCGACTAATTCGCAAGATTTATGTTTAGGGAAATTGTTGTTAAGAATTATATCGTTGATCGATTGTATAGGCCAATTCGAGATATTATAGCCAATTAGGACCATTGATCCAATCATGGTTTTTCATAAAGGCTACGGGATCAAGTCCTCGGGAAGCGCAATCAGCTATATTTTGATAACCTGGGATAAAATACCAATTTTCCGACGAAATTAAGCTCTGGATTAAGGTTATTCGGTTAGAAATGAAAGTTTTCCACCTTTTAGGCTAAGAATGAATCCAATGGAGGGATATTTGCGAATCTGTAAGTGCAAATATATTTTCAACGTTTATACGGTGTGAAAGGCTGCTCTTAATATGAAATAATGTTTTAGCTAGTAAAACGGCAGAACATAATTCTAATCGCGGCAAAGTAACAACTAATTTAGGTGCTACGCGTGCCTGGGAATATAGAAATGTAACATTGACAAACTTGGGCCCTTTGGATATGGCATAAACAACCGCTGCGTAGCCAGCTTTGCTGGCGTCACAAAATCTAACTAATGTTAATCTACAATCCAGGAAAAAAGAAATATGTCTTGGAATTTCAAACTTACCAAATTCCGACAGTTCGGACATAATTTTATGCCATTGTTGACCTATTTTTGTTGGAGTAACATCATCCCAGTTATAATTTAAATCCCAAAGAGATTTTATCAACAGTTTGATAAGAAGAATAAAGGGCGAAAGGAATCCTAAGGGATCAAAAGTTCTAGCGACAAAGGAGAGCAATTGCCTCTTGGTACAGACAGAATCAACGGGAGTGATTTTAAAAATAAACTTATCTATTGAGGGGTTCCATTGTAAACCTAAAATCTTTAAAAAATCAGATTCAAAATCTTTAACTTGGGTCAGTCTAAAACTTTCTGGAATAGAACATAACAAGTCAGATGAATTTGACATCCATTTTACGATTTGAAAACCACCAGAGGAAAACAAGGCAACAATTTGTGAATAACACTTTGTAGCCAATTGTAAATCCGGAAAACTAGTTATTAAATCATCCATATACATATCAGTTTTAATGGGCCCGACAGCATCAGGATAGTTAGCAACTTCATCGTCTATTAATAATTAATAACTCTTAGGCTCAAATACGGGGACGATTTAACACCAAATGAGACTGTGTTGAGTTGATACACTGAAATCGGATCTTGTGTATTAAAACACCAAAGGAGTCTTTGATACTGTCGATGTTCTGGAATAATTTCAATTTGTCTATACATTTGTTTAATATCCGAGGTTACTGCTGTAGGAAATAGTCTAAAATTTAATGGGATACTAACAGCATTATTTTGGAGTTTGGGACCAGTGTATAGAACGTCATTTAAGGAAATAATTTTATCAGTTTTCATACTGGCATCAAATACAATACGGCAGGGAGTTGAAACACTATCAGGTTTAAAAATACAGTGGTGTGGTATATAATATAACGCGTTGATTACGTCCCTGCCCTTTGTACACACCGCCCGTCGCTACTACCGATTGAATGATTTAGTGAGGTCTTCGGACTGAGCGCGGTGGCGTTTCGGCGTCGTCGATGCTTCGGAAAGATGACCAAACTTGATCATTTAGAGGAAGTAAAAGTCGTAACAATTGGTTAAATTTTTTTTGGGGGGGGGGGGGGGGGGAAAGGGGAAGGAGGGAAGGAGGGAAATATTTCGATAGAATTTGTAGAAAAAACGGGAAAGTTGAAGAAGAGAATTGGGGGGGGGAAAGGGGAAGGAGGGAAGGAGGGAAATATTTCGATAGAATTTGTAGAAAAAACGGGAAAGTTGAAGAAGAAAGGAATTGGGAAAACGCCTGTTACTTCTTCTCTTAGGAAGAGGTAAAAGTAAATATTTCGATAGAATTAGAGGAAAAAACGGGAAAGAAGAAGGGAATTGGGAAAACGCCTGTTACTTCTTCTCTTAGGAAGAGGTAAAAGTAAATATTTCGATAGAATTAATAGAGGACGCGGATAGCATGAAAATATATAAATAATGATTAGATATTGTGCAGCGACCCCTTCGGGGACGCTGGCGGGATGTTTCGTTCAGAATCTCTTCTACGTAATTTGGCCTAAAAAACTGACGCCCGAGAAAATATATAAATAATGATTAGATATTGTGCAGCGACCCCTTCGGGGACGCTGGCGGAATGTTTCGTCCAGAAATCTCTTATACGAAATTTGGCCAAAAAAAAATGGCGCCCGAGGAAATTTTTGTGTGCGTGGCGAATTAGATAGGAGCAAAGGGTGTACGGGAAAAATAATAAAAAAATTATTCGTTTGTAATAAACCACCGAAGAAGCAAAAAGAAATTTTAAAAACGTCATAAAAAAATGACAGTTGACAGACGAAAAATTTAATACCGATTCGGGCACCCTCCGATATCTAGGGCATCTACCACTAACATAATCACCCTTCTTCAAAGCACCCAGTTCTCCCAGGAGGGACCCAACGGTCAAAAAACACGATTTTCGGTGCATTTTCACCGTTACCATGGAAACCGCCAAACAAATTTTCACCCCGATTTTTTTTTAGATGCGTCCCGTGGGTCTACACGTTCCGGCCAAATTTCATGAAAATCGCTCCACTCGTTACTGAGATATGATTTTTTAAAGTCGCCCGGAAACCCTTAATACAAAATTTGGCCGAAAAAAAGTGGCGCCCGAGGAAATTTTCGTGTGCGTGGCGAGTTAGAGAGGAGCAAAGGGTATTTAGGAAAAATATTAAAAAAATCATTCGTTCGTAATAAACCATCGAAAAAGCAAAAAGAAATTTTAAAAACGTCATAAAAAAGTGACAGTTGACAGGTGAGAAATATAAATACGATTCGGGCACCCTCCGATATCTAGGGCATCTACCACTAACATAATCGCCCTTCTTCAAAGCACCCAGTTCTCCCAGGAGGGACCCAACGGTCAAAAAACACGATTTTCGGTGCATTTTCACCGTTACCATGGAAACCGCCAAACAGATTTTCACCCTGATTTTTTTTTAGATGCGTCCCGTGGGCATACACGTTCCGGCCAAATTTCATCGAAATCGCTCCACTCGTTACTGAGATATGATTTTTTAAAGTCGCCCGGAAACCCTTAATACAAAATTTGGCCGAAAAAAAGTGGCGCCCGAGGAAATTTTCGTGTGCGTGGCGAGTTAGAGAGGAGCAAAGGGTATTTAGGAAAAATATTAAAAAAATCATTCGTTCGTAATAAACCATCGAAAAAGCAAAAAGAAATTTTAAAAACGTCATAAAAAAGTGACAGTTGATACATAAATAACTATTATATTGCTGTCATTCTTAAACGTCAAATAAATTATTTATTTCTTTTAATTGAGGTTATTTGTAAGTGAAAGTTACCACTTACCTATATTTCTATACCTAAGTAAAAATAATTATTTTAATAATGGATCTAACGCGAATAAACTATAATTATAATGAAGTTAAGATAATTTTTGTACAAGTTTTAACGAATTCCAGAATGGAGCTCGTGTCTGAATTTGATATTGGCATCAAAAAGGTAAAATGCTTAAATATTATTTTTACACGTGCAAGCTTAACTAATACAAAGTCAAAATAGTTTTACACACGAGAGTTTAAAGGTATCATTTGAGAACGCGAGACAGAGACAGGAGGCAAGCGACCGTGTAAGGCGACCGAAAAGTGTCCGTTACGTCTGAATAACATGTAATTAAATGAAGCACATTTGGGACATCGAGACCGATGCAAGAGACGCGACAGCACATTTAACACGGCAGTGTTTGCTACCTTGCTGCCTTTTACTGCCGCTTACATCGTTCACGCGTTCTCAAAGAGTTGGGCTGGCTTAAGGGATAAAGGGACTAAATATTGCTTAGAAAAGGTATAAAAGGACCAAATATTTTTACATAGGCAGAAGCTTTTCACGTTATGTCCATTATGAAACATCGATTGTAGGTGGAGGAAATTAAAGCCGATATTATTGAATATGTATAGAAGAAGGGTGAATAACCAACAGCAACTGCAACTTTAAAATTGGTTTCGCAGGTTCTTCATGAACCAGAAGTCATCTGTTTTCACAAAGATAGTGATGAGAACAAGCACAAAGCAGCGGATGATAAACAAATCTCAGAAATGGTGGAATTACCAAAGTGTTCCTAAAAGTACCATAGCCAATATTTACCGATCATTATTTAATAAAAATAGTTTATAATTTAAGGTACTAATTAATTTATTTAAAAAATTAGGCACTATTATAACTCACAATTCTAATTTATTTATTATAATTTATCTTTCATATACAACAAAATTAAGGTCTACCGACAAAGTCGCGCCATTTCTACAAAAATAAAACACTCTAGAAAGAACCAACTCTGAGAAGAAGATCAGTCTAGAAAGTCTAGAAATTATCCTCCACGTGCCAGACTTCGATGGAAAACATTTGATTCGGTTTCTCGAGTCTCGAAGCGGGTCTCGATATGGTCAGCGGGTACGGTAGTAAACAAAGAACAGAGTCGGCTTCGGATGATCTCACGACAATATACTAGAATAGTAGCAATACTAGTCATATAAATATAGCATTGTTGTCTTAACAAACATAAAAATTAACCTGATAAAAGATAATTTGTGCCTATTCTGGCAGGTCGAGGTATAATAAGATACCACTACTATTTGTAATTAATTGAGCAGCAAAATCATGGCTTACTTACCTTACTTCTCTTAAAATGGCTCTTAGTTCATCATCAAAATTAAGCGATAGAGTTAATTTAACTGGATCTTTACATAGTTGGAATTTACTCATACTCCTATTTACTTGTTGTGAAACAGGTTTGCTCCACGCTTTCATGATGGCTTCTTGTTCTTTGTCCAAAATTTTAAACCACTGTTCGCATTTTACGTAAATATATTGAGCATCTTCACACTGATTTATCTCATCATCACAATCTTTCAAACCACTTAATGGAGTTACGATCCTTTCACGAAGTTTATTGAGATAAAATAGTTTCCCCGCTACTGGCGGGAAGTATTTATCGATTGGCATTCCAAATTTCTTGCCTGGAAATTAAAAATAGGTTACATTATTGGCATTATTCAAGAAATAAAGCCATCGCATATTGCAGAATCACAATGTACAACTATTGCAAAAAGGCTAAAATAATCAACCTAGGGTCGACTTTCTTGAATAAAGCTATTACTAAATATGTACAATCGAAACCCTCTTATTAGGCATTGCTGACTTAAAGGACGCCTTAGGAAATTTGGACTAATAGAAAGAGAGCAGGTTCAGCGAGGAGGAAAACTAAACCATCACCATTTCCATTCTTACTGAAGATATTTTGCCGTATGAGAGTGATCCCGCATGCGTCGCTTGGCGAATCATTTGCAACGAACGGTCTTGACCATTCGACAACCTTATCTCGCATGCGGTAACTATGGGTATCCAAGCATGTTACTTGCCGCTGTCTGTCACATATAGATCCAATATAAAAACATTTATTCTTTCTAAATTTTTTTTAATGAATTTTTTATAATTAACAAAAAATGTTCATTAGTTATTGTTATGAAGACTAGTCTTCATAGTTATTGTATTTATAAGTGTACATTACACCGAGCGGTAGGATCCACTTTTGTTACCAGATAGACAGTTTGTAATAATATTTTGCTAATTTCGGTTCATTCTCAATCTCCATTTCTAAATACCTACCTCAATTTTTTTTAATAATGATAGAAACAAAGATATCGGATAATAGATACGCCTTACGCCTTATACATTACACTTCTGTGGTCGAAGCTTAAAACTAATAAGTCGAAAGTCGATATTACACATTTTTGGAGAATGTCGCTGGAAAATGTTGGGACACATTAATGAGGATTTTTAGAATCCATACTTTGTTTTAACTGTTTTATGATACCAAAGGACCCCGCAATAATCTTATGGAAATTGGGTTTTTGTCAAATTGTCTGAATTTTTGATATGTTGTAGATTTTGTCATCCTGAACAAAAGTCTCCATGGGCACAAAGTGCCAAAATAAATATTTTGGCAGCTACGGAGCTGCCAAAGCTCCCCTGGCCCGTTGCAAAACTATTCATTTTCAATACTATTTACAGATGTCAGAAGCATATTTTAATTATTCTAATATATAGGGTAATGTTTTTGAGGTCACTGGATTCAATCCTCACGTCAGATTGGACAAATTGACCGTTGACAGCTGTCAATTCACGGTCAACGAGGAATATAAAAGTAAATATTCTCTTTTCACATTGAGAGTTTTGGTTTTTGAGGTCGCTGAATTCAATTCTTATTTTAGATTGGACAAATGGACAGTTGACAGAGGATATTTACTTTTATATTTCTCGTTGACCATGAATTGACAACTGTCAACTGTCAATTTGTCCAATCTGACATGAGAATTGAATTCAGTGACCTCAAAAAACCAAACTCTCAATGTAAAAAGAGGATATTTACTTTTATATTCCTCGTTGACCGTGAATTGACAGCTGTCAACTGTCAATTTGTACAATCTGACATAAGAAATGAATTCAGCTACCTCAAAAACCCAAACTCTCAATAGGCATTTTTGGAAACCTACTACAGATAACAAATCCAGATTATTGGGTTTACCCGATGGATCACGTGGATCACTGAACTTTGTGCCGACAGTTTACGAACGAGTTGGATTATTGTTCCTGAAGATCTACGTCTGTCTATCTTTGACTTTTCCCTATTATTTGTTAAAGAACCATTTTAATTAGACACATTTGTAGTCTGACTTATAAAGTCGCAATATAGGCATAAACATTACAAGTTATAACTAATTGAATGTAGAAAAAACTTCAAAGTTACTACTGGCAGACACCAAACAACAAAAAATTGCGTTATCCCTTTAAATAATCCTATGGTGCACTTGCGGATCTATTACTAATCTACTCGTAGAGTGGGTTACAAAATATTGATCTCGATCACACAGCTGGATCAGTAATTTACTAGTTTCCGAACCGTGGGTAAACGAACAATAGGATCCATAATCTTTCTGATCCGAGTAAGTTTTCGAAAACGCCTAATGTGAAATATATTCCTCGTTGACAGTGAATTGACAGTTATCAACGATCAATTTGTCCAATCTGGCATGAGTGACCTTAAAGACATTACCCTATATACTAGAATAATTAAAATATGCTTTGGACATCTGTAAATAGTATTGAAAATGAATAGTTTTGCAACGGGTCAGGGGAGCTTTGGCAGCTCTGTAGCTGCCAAAATATTAATTTTGGCACTTTGTGCCCATGGAGACTTTTGTTCAAGATGACAAAATCTACAACATATCAAAAATTCAGACAATTTGACAGAAACCCAATTTCCATAAGATTATTGCGGGGTCCTTTGACTGTTTATATTTAATTTTGACGTTTTGTCTTCCGCGGTTACTCTTGTATTATTATATGTTTTTTTGTACCTTATTTTTATTACTTTACAACGTATATAGATTTGAATCCTTTTAACTGCCTAAAATATACACTCTTCTAAACGTATCTTGACTAAAAACTCCATTTACGTAAAAACCGACTTATGACCTTTTAAGTGCCGGCCGAAAGACTTAAATTTAAACCCTGAACTTTTAAATAAGGACTTTACGATGGGGAGGAAATGTATAGCGTGCCGAAATACGCAGAATAAGAATGTTATTCGGTCATTTCATAAGATTATGTTAGCATAGACGTAGGCATATACAGGGAATGAGGCTTAATTTATTTAACAGTGTAAAGGCATTTAGCACTAGCATTGTTTATTTAAATAATAATGTTCTATATATGTTTCTTAGAGAAATTATTCAACGTAGAATTTGGCTGCAAAATATATGCTTGGTGAAGGAAGACATTATGAAAATGAAAGAAGCCTTAGTATGTTCTGACCATTTTTGTGTGGCAGATATTTATGAACATTTAAGTGGTAGACATCTTAAAACATAATGCTATACCTATCAAGTAAGTATTTATTATGGGTATTTTTATAATCTGTAAGCTCTAAAATTATACAGAAATCATCAAATTTTGCAGAATTTTGGGAGAGTTAGTTGAAGAGGCGAAAAATGAAGAAGAAAAAAATACTGCATCACCAGTAAGGTAAATTAATTATTTATATTGAGAGAAGCATACAATTCTATATAATTTTTTTCTACTTTTTTAAAGAACAATGAAGATTCGTGCTGATCTAGTACTCCTACAGGTCCTAGTGTATCCAGATCACCACTTTGTAATTGTGTATGTTATATAAATTTTTGGATTCTTTTTATGTAATTAACTTATTTAAGAAAATTATCATTGCTTAAATCAATGCTGAATTAAATATAAAATATTTTAGATATTCCAATTTTCTGTGTACCTATATATTTCTTTTTGTAGGAGAAAATTAATTGAGACCCGTTACTTAGCTGATATTCATTCATCAGACATGTCCAGCCCAAATGCTAAAAAATCCTTAAAACTTGCAACGTAGAAAAATATCTACTTTACAAAGGCAGAATCGAAGATTAAGATCTAAAATTACTAATCTAAATTCTCTATTGGCCCATTTGAAAACAAATCAGTACATTTCGCCATCGGCAGAATCTATTATCGAGGTACTAATAAATCAATTAAAAAACAAACCTAAAACCAATGACATCTTGATTGAACCTCCATAGCCAGATTTACTGGTTTTAATTTTTTTAGGAAATTATTTCGTGGTCGTATGAAAAATATTGTATGTTACTTGTGTGAAAGTGATTTTTCACACAAAAATGTCACTTTTCACATTTGTATTCCAATTTCCGATAGTATTATGTATGTTAAATGAATAGCCTTTATTTATCTGTACATACCAAGATAGAAAGTATGTTTATTATTAAATTCAATGAGATTTCAGGCTACTGTACTTGGAAGTGCTGCTGAAGTAATGAAAATGATTTTAAAAGGTTCTTTTTATCAAAAATGTTCACCTGTTTTAAGGACATTTGCCCTAACATTAAATTTTTATTCCGCAAAGGCATACAATTTTGTTAGAGATACATTTAATAATTGACTGCCACATCCAAGGACTCTATCAAAGTGGTACAGTGTAATTGATGGCAAACCAGGATTAACAAAAAAAATCATTTCGTGCTATAGAAGCGAAAATTTCAACTTCAACAAAAAAGTTTTGTGTCAACCTAGTTCTTGATGAAATTCATATCATGAAGAAGGTTGAGTGGACCGGAAAAGAAGTTATTGGATACATCGTTTTGGGAACCAAATTAAAATCGGACTGTATTCCAGAAGCATTAGTTTTTATGGTAGAAGCTATGAATGATTTGTGGAAAATTCCAGTTGGCTATTCTTTTATAGAAAGTTTAACCAGATCTGAAAAAGCCAATTTAGTTAAAGAATATTTAAAATTTCGTAGTGCAGTTAATATCAAAGTGACTTCTGTAACGTTTGATGGAGCATCAGATCATATCACTATGATGAAGTGTCTGGTAGCAAATATAGATACGCCATCTTCATTAACCACTTATTTCATTCATCCAATGAGCAAGTGTTTTTTTTTTATCCATGTCATATGCTCAAATTGGTCAGAAATGCATTCGGAACGGCTGGTAATATTTTAAAAGGTGGAAAAAATAGGGAAATAAAGTGGTATTACATAAGGAAACTAATACATCTTCAAGAAAATGAAGGGCTCTTAGCAGGAACAAAACTGAAAGCTCAGCATTTGTAGTTACTGTTTGTAGTAAAGCTGAAAAATGTATAACAACAGTTTCTATGAACATACACAGTAATAATATTATTAACATTGCAAATGTAAATTAGTAAATAATTCTATGAGATATTTGCCTTCAAATAATTTTGATGTTTTTTCATACCATATTTTTGATTTTGAACCACTTAATGACCATTGCATTACTGTCACGAAGCTCATTTTAGATAAATATATAGACATTCGACTTCATCATGAATTTAATAAATTAAAAACTGTTTAGTGTAATATGTGTCACTTTCCTAAGTGGTCGTAGTAAAAATACATTTTCCAATTGCATCA